CGAAAGAAGGAGCGAGAAGCCCCGGAGTCAAGTGTGAAAGTGAGGGAGGACGAGGACGACGCAGTACCTGAGAGCGCAGTCTCACCAGCACCTGAGAGCGCAGACGCACTGGCACCTAGAGCAGCAGCCTCACAAGCACCTAGCGCAGCAGTACCAATGCCCGGGTCGGGCTGGAAACACCGGTAACCCTCATTCTCCTCACTATAAGTAACAGCATACATAGCAGCAAGGATAGCATCAAAATCAAGATCAAAGATCGCTACACCAGCCCTAAGAAGCTCATCCCAGCGAGGGATCTCACTAGCCCCAGGGAACTGCTGACGCCAAGCGTCCGTCAGGCGGCCAAAGCAGCGCTGGGTGGCGTGGGCACCCCCACACTGCTCACCCGCGCGGTCGCCGGAACGAAGAACGTAGGTGCAGGGACCAGTACCCCCACCCCTCTGACGCCCAGCGTACCACTCACGAAGCTGCTGAGGCGGAGGGATGTCCCGCGAGCGCTGCTGCTGCTGCCGCTGCGAGCGCTGGCCACCACCACCGCCGCTACGCTGCTGGGTACCACCCCGACCAGCTCCACCTCCTCCACCACCACCGCCTCCTCCGCTGCCGCCTCCACCGCCTCCACCTCCGCCGCCTCCACCTCCGCCGCTGCCTCCACCACCACCGCTGGCACCACCACCACCGTCTCCGCCGCTGCTGCCACCACCACCACCACCCCCGCCACTAGTCCCGCCGCCACCCCCACTCCCTCCGCCGCCACCGCCGCCACCGCCACCGCCCCCTCCAGCTCCACCCGCGCCCTTGCCCCCCTTGCCCTTGCTGGAGCGACGTCTCCCACTAGGGGCAGACGCCGCGCCGACCGACTCAAGACCAAGCAGGTCGGCAGCAGCAGCAGAGGCAACAGAGGGCAGCAAGGGGGAAGGAGAGCACCCCTCAAAGATGGGGGTGCGAGGGTCACCACGAGAAGCACCTACAGCGACTATGCTCTTCTCCGCTGCGAGGAGGGCCTTCTCGAGGAGGTCGACGGTGAGGGTGGTGGGACAGACTGCGAGAAAGTGGTCCCTGACGACGCGAAGGGAGTCAGGGAGGCGCGCGACTACGTAGTAGAGAGCGATGTACATGGGGGGGGGGTTCTTAGCGCAGAACTCAGCAGGAAGGGCGGCGCGGTAGCGAGTGTCACTAGTGCGGAGGTGCGTAATGAGGTCAGCGACAGTGGGAAAGGCAGAGAGGTCAGGAAAGAGGTAGGGAAGCATGAGACGGCTCAGTGCAGCAGTGGCAGGGGAGGAGTAGCGCGCAACTACAGCGTTGTACAAGGTCTGAGCACTCTTGTACTGACTAAAGTGCGCACGCTCAGAGGTAGGGAGGTGGCGACGCACAGCAAGACGTGCAGCAGCATCGCGGGTGGCCCACTGAGAGCGGACAGTGGGATCAGCATCAGCAGCAGGAGCAGGAGAGGCGCCAGAGGTGAGGTCAAAGAGAGAAAGGCCGTCAGCCCTGTCGCACTGTAAGAACAGCTGCAGGTCGTCTAACCAGACCTCAAAATCAATGGCGCGACCCTCAGCGTCAAAAGCTAGGACACTAGGGGTAGCCATGGCGACGACAGCGACGCAGTGCAAGCAGTAGGGAAAGAGCTCGCAGTGACAGTGGGACTGTGCTCACCAGGCAGGGCAGGTCGTGCAGCTCTGCAGAAAGGCGGCTCGGCGACCGGGCGGCTCGGGTGCACAGCGGCTCGGCTCCCGGGCGGCTCGGCGGCAGGGCGGCGCGGGTGCAGGGCAGCTCGGCTCTCGGGCGGCTCGGCGGCAGGGCGGCGCGGGTGCAGGGCGGCTCGGCTCCCGGGCGGCTCGGCGGCAGGGCGGCTCGGACGTTGGGCGGCTCGGCTCCCGGGCGGTTCGGCTGCACTGCTGCCCGACTGCTGCAGGTGTGGCGGCGGGGCCGCGTGGGAGAGCCGGGGCGGGGACGCGTGAGGGCCGGCGGCTGGGCCGCTTCAGAGCCGGCGGCGTGGCCGCGTGAGAGCCGGGGCGGGGCCGCTTCAGAGCCGGCGGCGGGGCCGCAAAAGAGCCGGCGGCGGGGCCGCTTGAGAGCCGGGGCAGGGGCCGCGTCAGGGCCGGCGACGGGGCCGTAAGAGAGCCGGCGGCGGGGCCTGGAGAGGGCCGACGGCGGGGCCACGTGAGAGCCGGGGCGGGGCCGCAAGAGAGCCGGCGGCAGGGCCGCGTAAGAGCCGGGGCAGGGGTCGCGTAAGAGCCGGGACGGGGCCACGGAAGAGCCGGGGCGGGGCCGCGAGAGAGCCGTCGGCGGGGCCGCGTGAAAGCCGGGGCGGGGCCGCGCGAGAGTAGGCGGCGGGGCCGCGTAAGAGCCTGGGCGGGGCCGCGACAGAGCCGTCGGCGGGGCCGCGTGAAGGCCGGGGCGGGGCCGCGTAGGAGCCGGGGCGGGGCCGCGTGAGAGCAGGCAGCGGGGCCGCGTAAAGGCCGGGGCGGGGCCGCGACAGAGTCGGCGGCGGGGCCGCGTGAGAGCCGGCGACGGGGCCGCGTAAGGGAGGGCGGCGGAGCCGCGTCAGAGGAGGCGGGTGAGCCGCAGGGGAAAAGGCGACCCGAGGGGTCGCTAAAAAAAATCGCGCCTCGGGGCGCGCTTCGGTGGGCCCAAAAAAAACGGTCCTTAGAAGGACCCGCTCTATACCATGTGAGAATAAGCGAACAGGAATGAATGGACTAGCAGTGAAAAATGAGTACAAGTAGGAAACCCTAGAATTGTGTACCCCCTATGGGCTAACCCACTGTAGCCTACACAAGCATAACATATATAATGTTTGACACTTTTCTTCTCCTTCGTGGCTGGGTTCGTGCGGGCAACACCGACTATACCTCATCCGAAAAATGCGGACGATGGGTGAACGGCGGGAAGCTGAATTGTCGGGGGGTGAAACGACCAAAAAATTATGAAGCTTCGGGTATTTCTTCGCTTCTTGGAGTGCGGTTGAGTCGTTGGGGGACTTCGCCTGAAGGGCACTTTTCGAAGTTGCCTGGCAAGAAACACAACGGCAAGGATACCTAGGACCCCCGGTGTTTAAACGCACACCTCGGGAAATTCTTTAGAAAAGAGGGGATTGTGGGAGCAGTCGTAGCTTCGGGATCTATCGACCGGCGACGAGCGATGTGGTGAAACATCTGCAAAGCGCTGGTGGGAGAAACAGGAATTTTTGTTAAGCCACATCGACGGGAGCAGTTTCGACGACGGAGTCAACGGCGTTGATGCCTCTAGGTTCCGTGAAATTCGGTCTCGGAATAGCCAGGGCAGTCCCCGGTTCTCGATTGAACCCACATGCTGGGGTCGGGTAACCGACGGAAACTGATGGTGACCGAGTGGGCGGCTATAGCACGTCCGAGATTTTCGGAGGCGAACTGCAACTGCAACTGCGGCATTACGGGGTTTGATTCGAGCAACAATTTCGGAGTGTTTACGGAGTCATTTGGTTAAACGTGCGCGTCAAACGGAGGGGGGCAACACCGCGAGATTTACACAGACTTTTTTAGGGGTACGGAGGACTTACAACGAACTGAAGAAGGCGGCAGCAACAGTGAAGGGGGGGAGCGACAGCTGTGAAATTTCATCCCTGCCCAAGAATCATCGACGTATTACGACAAAACTCTCGGAGAAACCATTTCCAACTCTGCTACCGACAACTCGCCTTCGACCCGCCGACGACAACTGTATTACTTCTAAACCACGTCAGGAGCTGCCAGCTGCAACTGCTGAAGATATCCCCTGATTTCCGGCGATATGTGGACAATTTACGTTCAGTTGTACTCGGCAATTTTCATTTCGGTTTCTGGTCTACTTACGCGGGCTCGCCCTTGAAGACTTTTTGGGGCACGGAAACCTGGGTTCGCCATCGACATTTCCACACCGACGACATTTCGCCTGGACTTTTACATCCGACGCTCTTATTCGTGGGACTTAACGCCTGGCTTTTTGCTGGTTTTCATCTCGGCGCAGCAGTGAAACATTTTCTGGTGTCTTTTCGTGAGGGGGGGAGAAGTGCGCTGCACTGTTCTTTCCTTGACGTTTTTCTCGGTCCTTTCTACCTTTGTCAGGTTGCGTCAGCACGACGGACGACCGCGATCACACCGACAAAATCGACGGCTTCTGCTACGTCGCGATTGAATTTCGCGTCAGCAGTTTCCCTCCACATCCGCGACATCGTTGACCGTCAGATCTGCAGTCATCGCATCTACAGCCCACATTCCAACTTTCAATCCACTTTGGGCCAGTTCATCGTGGACCGTCAGATCGAAATTGAATTTCATCAACGGCCTACATTCCAACCTTTTCAAAAATATTGTCCAAGGCATTTCGGCCGTCGGATTCAGCTGAAGAGAAGATCTACGGGATCCTCGCTAGTGTGGGGCCTTTTTCAGTACAGGGCTGCCTTATTTAGAAGGTGGTAGAGTGTAATGATTTACAAAACCTTACTGAGGCACTCGTTAGCGAGGCTATCCCGAGGGTCACGCGACGAACCTGTCCTTCCTATTTCGTCGCACCGAACCACTCCCGAGTCGGCCTCCGCTCCAATCGCAACCATCACCGAGCCATCCTCGCCCAACCTCTCCGCCTAGCTAGGACTTCCCCTATTTAGTCGTACCTTTCTCATCGTATCGTCATTCAGTAATTCAGTACTCAATCATTCTCGATATTCGTTTTACTGCACACTCTGCAAGTTCATTCATAACAGCTGCGTAACTCGGGTAGAGTGTTCGAGAAAGAACAAAATGTCCTGACTCCCGCCAGAAAGAGAAATGAGATAGCTTATTACGGTAAGCACTTCCTAAGAGCTCTGTGAGAAGGAACATCAACCGAATGCTCCACCACATTCGTCGCATTCATAACTTAAATATCATATTCCGTTGAGGCGAAAGATACCTCCTCACCGTATTTGTTGACTAGGGACTGATAGGCATCAGCCTGGCCTTCGTCGTAATCACCCATGGTGCCTGCACGTACAATGTAAGTCAATGTGAGTGCTCAGGAATAAGTAAGAACGAGTGAGCAACTGGGAACGGGAGGAGAAGTATGAAGGAGAAGAGATCAGCACCTGGTTTCCACATGACGAAGATACTGGCTCCGACTTCTTTCTCCGCGTTCAAGAACCGAACAGTGTAGGTGGGAAAGTCACCGCGCATGGACTTTCCAGTGATCAGCTTCGCACCAGAAACCGAGCTCAACAGCAGGTGGAAGTCCACATTCTCCTCTGACTTGATGACATTGGCGTACTCGCCTTTGCCAGGAAGAGTGTGATAAAAAAGTCCATCTAGGGTTGTGACTGATTCGAGAACGCCTAATCCAGTGTTAACAATCAGCCGGACCTGCAGTGTTATGTGGGGATGTACTTATATTAGCGAAGGACAAAGTGGCAAATGTGTACGAACAAACACACGCACCGTCACTGGACACTTGCCCTGCCGACGTTCTTCAAATCGCCTAGAAATTCCTTCAAGTTGGCTGTCGCTCCTGTGTCTGCATCGGAAGTGTCAGTTGAGGCAGAAGCCCTGACAGCGACCAGCTTGGACTGACTTCTGACGGAAACTTTGGTTTTTTTTACCACTCCCATGAAGGGACTAGCGCTTAATCGATGAGACCGAGCGATAGAAACAGCAGCAGTCGGAACCACAGCCGACCATGATACGGTGGAGGCAGTGAGCGCCATGTGTAGTGAGTGGCTGGGCAAAATGAGGTGCGCAACTGTGTCTGGAAAATGTGACAAATTGGTTGTATCGGTTGTCACAAATTATGCCTCCGCCTATTGTGTCATGGCAGTCCCGTGGGCAGCAAGCTTCATCAGCACTCACGACCATCGCGAAAGTCGTGAATTCGTTTTCAGGGTAACAGCGTTGAAATGTTCGCCAAACACAGCACGGCGACAACATTCACAACAATTACGAACCAGCTTGCTCTGGGGAAGGAGGTTGGGGGATGGCTACTGCAAATTGGTTCGGATATCTCAAACCATCACTTTACCGAATCTACCTGGCAGAGCTACATTATCGCTAGCCTGCGTGGCCAGCGATCGAGCCTGCTGTCTTCTTCTCCCAAACCCGCCGTGGAAAAGTTAGCCACAAGATCATGCATACGTGGAGGGCATCTACTTAAAGTAGCTTCGCGTCCCCCTCCATGCCCCCAACACGTGACTGGTCAGTGTTGCCTCACCCTCCCTTCTGTGCCTGGACTCCCTCCCCTTCCTTTACTGACTCGTTCCAGAAGTCTCGTTTTCTTGGGAGCCCAGGAAACCACTTTCTGCTAGATCTGAGAGCTCAGACTTCCAGGCAGGCATTGCAGAGTAGACTTTACGCACATCAGATTGCTGGCGTAATGGCTGCCATTGCTCAGTCTGCCATTTCTGGCGCGATTTGCGCTCCCGCAGTCGCGTCAGTTGAGGTGTCTGGTAGGACCAGCATTGTCTCCTTCAATGGCCTGAAGGCGACCTCCCTCCGCCAGTCTGTGAAGGCATCCCTCTCGCAACGTGTGTCCTCTAAGCGCTCTTCCCGCGTTGTGTGCGAAGCCACCGGCACCGAAGGTTCGTTTATTAATTTTAAGGGCATTTGTACGGCTCTTTGATGCCCCCGTGTCGATTGGCTAATTTTGTTCTGTTTTCTTCGTCTGCAGTCGCGGGCCCCGTGACCGATGCGACGTTCAAGAACCTCGTTCTGGAGAGCAATGTCCCAGTCCTGATCGACTTCTGGGCTCCATGGTGCGGCCCTTGCAGAATGATTGCTCCTCTCATTGATGAGCTCGCGAAGGAGTACAACGGAAAGCTGAAGTGCTACAAGCTGAACACCGACGAGAGCCCCAACGTGGCCACAGAGTACGGAATCCGCAGCATTCCCACTGTGATGATCTTCAAAAAGGGGAAGAAGGTCGACACTGTGATTGGTGCTGTTCCTAAGTCCACCCTCACAGCCACCATTGATAAGTACTTGTAAGCTCGCGACCGTGAGGTTCTGCGACTTCTTTGTTCAGCTATGTGGATGTTAACCTGTGAAATTATTTTCAGTATCTAGCAAAGCCCACACCAATTGTCTGAGGGTGCACGTCCAGGGGTTGTCGTCTCAAAGCTCATCCATTGTAGGGTAAAGCTATCGCTTTTGGTACGCTGCTTAATCCATCTAGAGTCAGACCCATATAGAATTTTTGAAAGTTGCAATACTGTTTGCAGCATGTACTGTATCTACAAGAGCACTACTGGTATGTTTTACACATCCACTTTGTAAGGAATTTTCCCGAATTCCTTCGGGGTTGACTGCTTCGCGTACAACCCGATTTTCGGAGTACGCACATTCGGCCGATTGAGAAAGCTTGCTTCTGTAGCAATTGGCACCGTTCTCATTACAATGGGCTCAAGTACAATGGTTCCTAGCAATTATAATAATATACTATCACATCCAAAATATCTAAGAACTTCTTCTACTCTCAAAAGATGACTAGCATGGGGAGGGTGGGTGGGAATTGAACTTGAGCGATTGTAAAATGAGAGACGTGGGTGGGGGAAGAATGACCCCAGCCCACATTATATATTCGGAGAAGGCGAATACCGCGCTTCGACGATGCAAAAAAATGGCATTACAGTCAGCTTCGCTTTCACAATACGCAAATTTGAAAGCGATAAACGCTTAGAAATTTTTCAAATTTCAACGCTGCCGAGGCTCCTCGCGTCGCCTTCGGCATTTCCATCGCCAAACTTGCACCCAACCTCGCCTCCTGGTTAGGCTAGCCCTACATTAGTTTGTGCATTCATTCTATTCTCAGTTCATTCAGTCATAGCCTCGTTATTCGTTTACCTGCGCACTCTCTTTTACAACTCATAACACCTGGTATCAGAGCTACTTTCCTAGTTCACCCCGCTTTTCCGAGGGTAGTTTGGTGGCAGAGGGTGTGGCTGGTTTAGTGACTACACGACGGTTGGCTGCAGGGATTGTTAATTCAATCCTGTCCGACTCAGATAGTTCGTGTTTTCACTTGCCTGAAGGCCACGGAGACCCGACTGCCCACCAGACGTAGTGCTAGGCACATGGATCAGGAGGCTGTTAACCGGATGATGGCGCAAGTGGCAGAGATGCAGGAGAGCATGAAGACATTAATGGCGGAAGTGACAACACTACGGGAGGAAAACGCCGAGCTACGCCAGACGTGAGGTGAAGCGCGTCAGGAGTCGCCTGAGGACGAAGGCGAGGGCAACAGTCAGGCGATGAGCAACCCACTGGATGCTCTCACACGTGACTTCGAAGAAGAAGATAGGCAGCGAGCGGCAGCAGCGCCAGTTGAAGTTACGACGATCAAGATCAAGCCCGTCAACCCTCCCTCGTTTAATCCTACGGACAAAACAACTACAGTGAAGGGGTGGCTGTTCGGTGTCGAGGTCTTCTTCACGGCAGCAAGCGTTAACGACGATGCCACGCGTACCTATTAATTACGCGGTTTCACTTCTTCGGGGCGCGGCGCTTGAGTGGTGGCGCCGGAAGCATAAGGCGGGCCCACAGGCCAGGACGAAACACGCTCTAATGCCATGTCAAATATCGAGGTCTACAAGGAAGTTGAGAGTTAAGACGGCCTAGGCTTAGTAGCCTAGGCAAAGGAGGAGTCGAGTGAGTTTTGCCAAGCGAGGGTATCGAGAAAGTTGGGAATGAATGACTTCACTATAGGTTTGCAAGAACATATAGCAAATGAACAAAGAAGGTGCACCACCTAACAAAGTTTATAATAACTACACTAACTACAGCTACAGGCAGTTACAGATATATTTTGGCAACGAGCTCGCTTCGAGCATGTATCCGCCCCGGAGCAAGCTCGCATGAAGCTGCGTGCATGGTCGCAGATGGCTTCTGTCCAAGACTACACGGCGTCATTTATGGGCTTCGCCGATCAGATCGATGACATGTCGGAAGCAGAGCGGTTGGATAAATACGTCAGCGGCCTTAAATATGAAATACAGTTTGAGGTCCGCCGAAGCCGCCCGACATTGTTCCTCGAAGCAGTACGCGTGGCGGAGTCAACTGATGCGCTGATGCAATACGGGAGAGCAGCTTCCAGGGATGGGAGAAGCTTTCGTCGCCAGACCCATCGGGCCACGATCAATGCCGTCCATACACCCGACCGCCCTCCTAAGGGTCCGTGTTTTCGGTGTGGGAAGGTGGGTCACTACAGGAACGACTGCCAGGAGAAAATGCCGCTGACAGGGGACGACAGGAAGGAGCAGGGAAATGGGAAGAGTCAGTAATTAGCGGGCCCTTTACTGACTGTGCTCCGTCGCCCGAACACCATCATCCCCACCGAGTCGTGGTTCCAATTCATGCAACCAATCGTACTCGGCCGAATAACGGGGATAATCATGTGGATCACCCTGTGCTGGTCGCTGGCAAGGTGTTAGAAAATAATCTGAAAATGTTCGTCGATGGGGGGGCCAACCATAGCCTCTTCAACTTGGCGAGCACAAAAAAATGCAAGCTGCAACTTGACAGGTGTCTGCCTGAAATTGACGCCCGCCTCGTGGATGGGACGCCTCTGGCGATAACGGAAGAAACACGGACGGTCAGGATCGACTGCGGCGACGATTTCGGCTTCAGCATGAAGTTTCTCGCGACAACATTGGACGGCTGCGACGTGCTGCTGGGACGTGATTGGCTGCGACGACACAACCCCGTCATCGACTGGACAACGGGATCGTGCAGCATCAGCAAGCAAGAGGGGTTAATAAAATTACCTGCATGGACCCCTGACTACATCCAAGCACCGTGCGTCAAAGCTATCACTATAGCTCGCCACTTCAACAGAGGCGCGCAGCTGTTCGCTGTTTGCTTACGCGAGTTGGCACTCGACAGCGAGGGAAAGGACATCGAGAAGCTGTGTGCAGCTGTACCACCGGATTTAGCGGAGCTGATTCGGAGGTACCCGGTCATTTTCCCCGACGACCTGCCACCTGGACTGCCACCCGAGAGACCTGAGGACCACAAAATCCAGTTGGAACCTGGAGCGCAGCCGACTGTTCGGACACAGTGGCGGTTGACTCAGCCGAAACTCGAGGAGCTGCGAAGTCAAATTGATGCACTGTTGGAGAAGGGATTTATTCGGGCCAGCACATCTCCCTTCGCAGCACCGATTCTGTTCACTCCGAAGAAGGATGGCGGGCTTCGCATGTGTATCGACTATCGTGCGCTGAACCGGGTCACCATCAAGTCTCGCTACCCAATCCCACGCACCGACGACCTCCTCGACCAACTTCGCGGCGCTCGCTATTTCTCGAAGATTGACTTACGTGGCGGTTACCACCAGATCCGAGTCTTCGCCGACAACTGTCACAAGACTGCGTTTCGCACACGCTACGGGAGTTACGAATTCACAGTGATGCCTTTCGGCCTCACGAACGCGCCTTCGACTTTTCAACTGACCATGAACAGGGTTTTTCGGGATCTTCTAGACCAGTGTGTCATCGTCTACTTGGACGATATCCTCATTTTTAGCAAGACACGGGAGCAGCTCCTCCGCAACCTGGATGAAGTGTTTAAAAGGCTGCAGGAAAACCGACTCATCACCAAGGGCTCTAAGTGCGAGTTTTTTAAA